GATGTTATTATCTTTTGATTATCTTCTGCCAGATTTTTTTCCACTTAATTATTTTTGCATTCCAAATCTGTTAAACTCCTTTACTTTTTTTTCGAGAAACTCTCTACTTGTATTCAACTTTTTTCTGTTCCTGAGAGTTTATTTCTATATTTAGACCTATAAATTCTGAAGTATATATATGTATATGTGTGTGTATATATAGTAGTTAGTCCTAATCTCTTACATTATAAATTTAATCCATCTTTTGAACCCTTCCAGAATTTCTTGTTTTTACGTGCTCTCTTGGGATTCACAGTTCTATATTTCATCAGACATTGGTCTCCTTTCCTTTGTCTAATAATATCTCTTAAAACAGCTTTGTAATCTCTGGGTTTTTTTTGTTTTGTTTTGCACCTGGAGAAAAGTTTATTAATAATGACAATAGTAACAAATATTTACTTTAATACAAAAGTATTAAGTTTGTAATCTCTTTAAGGATGTGGCACTTATCTTTCTGGTTTTAGGATATTTTCTACTGATTTCTTTGCATTTTGAGTTTTTGCTGAATTTGTTAATATTTCGACATTTTTTTCCTTTATATTTCCCCATCACTCACTATATGATTTCCTCCCCTGCTGTGCCACCCCCCCCCACTAGTGGATACACCCCTAGGATTGGACTGCAAAGCTGTCTCAACCTTCTCTCATGGTGGAAGATTTAATAATGCTCACTGGGCTGGATCCTTACCATTTTCAGGGCCTAGAGGGACAGACTCATCTGTAAAATGAATTGACTGGACTCGGTGGCCTCCCAAGTTCCTTCTAACTCTAGATCCATATACCCTATGACTGGCTTAAGCTGGGTTCCAGACTCCATTTCCACAGCCCTGAATGCAGCTATGCATTCTAGCCCCTAGCTCCTTTTTTGGCTTATCTCTTTTCCTTCTGTAGGCTTTATCACTGTATCCACCTTTTTGCAGTCCAAAGGGAAGATGTTGAAGGTGTTACAGGCAAAGTCTCTGCAGCCTTAGGGGTTGCTAACTGAGGACCACATCAGACCTGAGCCTGATGGCTTCCCACTCCCCTTCCCTCAACTCCTCCCCCTGTGATTAGGCAGAATCAATATCTGCAGCTTGTTGCTAGTGGAGGGTAGGAGTGAGTGAGATATGTAGACAAAGTCTGTGAAGCAAGAAGAGATCCTAATACCTGAGCCCCAGACATAAGTCTGGGAGTAGGTTTGTGTGGTCCCTGCTAGGAGTGGAGGCTGGGTGGAGAGGGGTCCAGAGGGACCAATTTAAGGATTAGTGGTCTCTTCTGTTAATTTCTTGTTGGGGGACTCCCTTTTTTTGCTCTACATTTGGGACATATTCCTTTTTTGGTAGTTTTTGAGAGTTAATGGGGTCTGGGGAAGGTGTCCAGTCAGGTATCTTGTTGATCTACAATTTATTTTTTAAATGTTTATATTGGCTTTAACAAAAACATTCAGAGTTTCTGATCTTTTTTTCTTCTTTGCATTTTTTTTTTCAGATTTTGTTGCCATTAGGGTTATTTTCACCTCTACTTACAGTCATGGTCATTATGTATGCTATTGGTTTGCTTTAAAGGAATAAAGATTTGACTAAAAACTGAATCCTAGTCCAGGTCCTGACCCCATGAGTATGTGGTCAAGGACCTGATCTTATCAGGGACCCCTTCCCAGGCTCCAGGGATGCTCCCAAATGAAAGTGTCTCGAATAGCCTTCCATTGACTCTTTTCTTTACACAGAACAGTGCTCTTTTCTTTGCACTGTTTCCTTTTGAATCTTAGAAGGATGAGACGAACAAGGCTGTTGTTAAAAAAAGCCTTTACTTTACATTAAATTGATGGAAAGGGTCCTGCTCTATATTTTGTGTTTATTTATATGGGTTTTCCAATCCAATGAACATTAAATGCTATGATATACCAGGTGCTAAGGTTATAAAATTAAAAATTTAACAATGCTTGCACCCAAGGAGTTTATGATTTACTGGGGGTGGTGGGTGGAGGGAACACATTGGTAAATAAGTAAAGACAAAGTAAATACAGAGTAATTTCAGAAGAAACTCCCAACTGAGGAAATTAGGAAAAATCTTTTGTAGAAGGTAGAGCTTAAGTTCAATGCTGGAGGGAAGAGGGAGCTGGGGTGAGGAGGGAGTGCAGACAGCCTGTACAGAGACAATGATGGAATGTCTCCTAGGGGATTTTAAAAATCAGCTCTAATATTTACATATTCCTCTTGTTTCTCAGGTATGAACACTAGCATTGATCAGCTTTTATGAAGGAAAGGACTCCTACTAAGAAATGAAAGGGAAATAAGTTCTCATAGCAAGAGAAGCTTAGATTAAACTAAATAACTTACGTCCCCAAATAAATGAAACAAATTGTTTAATTAATTTAGCTAATAAACTCTTTCCTTAATGTTACATTTTAATTTCCTTAATTTTAAGAATGAGGACCTACAGTCTAACCTGAGATATCAGTCAAGAGTAATCTCTTTAGTGCTGAAGGTTGCCCAGTTGGTTGATGGGAATGGTGTAATATAGATGTAAAACAGGTGTGAGACCATAGAAAGGCTGTGGAGGGGTGTTTATTTGTTACTAGAAGTTGAGACCCCATGATTGAAACAAATACTTTATACAAAATTGTCATTCAAAACCCAACCCAAAGTTAGGTACTTACCTGTGTTCAGGTTCTCAGGTTCTCTGTCCATCTGAGTCTCTTTCTCTCTCTCTCTTCTTCCCCCCACCCTTCTCTTTTTCTCCACCCCCCCTTCCCTTTCTCCCCCTCTCTTTCCCCTCTCTCCCTTTCTCTTGCCTTGAGATCAGAACTGTTTCCTTTCTCTTTGCAAATATCCTGATACTTTGTAAGTGCCTAGCACAATGCCTGCCAGATACATAATGAATGCTTTTTGAATGAATGAAGTAAATAAACAAAGAACACAGAGGCACCACCTGGTTCCTGTATCCCATCTTTCTATCTCTTCCTTTCGTCAACCAGAATTGTGGATTTCTAAAGAAACAAGGTCACAGTTTTCTGGTTTCTGTGAATGTAAGAGATAACTTTTCCCTAACCTTGGCCTGCAGGCAGGCAGTGTACCCTGATCATATGTGACACATAGAAAGCAAAAATCTCCTGCCAGAAAGCCCTTCTTGTACAACAGCTGTGGACAGCTTTGCCCAGAACCCCAGCTCATCACCACCATCACCACTGGCCTGCTTCTTTCTCGTTCAGCTCCTTACTCTATAGATGTCTTAACAAATGGTAGGGAAGCTCTAACCTTAGAATTAGTAAGGATATGATCCTGATCCTCAAAAGCCAAGGATGTTGGTATCCAACAAGTTGCTTTCAATGATTCATGGGGACATCTGCAGGGCACCTAGGGAATCAGTTAATTCAGTAGGATCTTAGAATCACCTAAGATCCAAGGACCTAAGGAACTTAGAAGCCATCTACTACAATTCCCTCATTTATGAAGGAAGAAACTGAGCCCCACCCAAAATAGTTAATGGACTTGCTCAAGGTTACACAGATTGAAAATGGCCTAGAAAATGGGGGTCAAAATTCAAATTGGGTCTTCCTGCTCCAAATCCAGCACTCTTTCCATTAAGGTTGAGACAGAGGATCCCTTTTAGCTGAGCCTGGAGAACAGATTGTTAAGCAAAGAGATGTTTGAGGTTACCTTGTTCAATTCCCTCATTTTATAGATGAGGAAAAATGATTTATTATATTCTTCAGGATAAATTATTATGTTGCTTAAATCTAACCCTATGTGATTAAAGGTTGATTGCACCCAGAAGGTCCCCTGACCCCAGTAACTATCCAGGAATGCTAGAGATGGTTACAAGGTATTTTGGGTTCCTTCAGGTCCTGCATCTAACCAAAGCATTCTTGTTTTGGGTTACCATACCTAAAACTTGGGATAGGTCCACCCAAACTTGTATTTGGTTTCCCTTATGTTTTGGCTTCACCCAAATTTTACTGAACATTTATAGTTACTCATATCTATCTCAATCTACCTTACTTTCAAGCTGTCCTCTTGGCAAAATTGATTATTATCTTCGAGGGGTCCCCGAGTGGGTGTCCTTGTCTAAACTCTATATAAATGTAAACCTTTCAGAGCCTGGATGAGAGAGGGAGCCACCTTTCCAGTTCTCTCTCTCTCTCTCCTCTAATAAATAACCTAATAAACTTCTTTCTAAACCTATTTCAGATTTTGGGGTCTGTTCTAGTGAACAACAAACTGAGGTTGAAAGAGGAGTGAGTTGGCCAAGACTACTCATTTAGCTAGTGACAGAAATTCAAATCAAGGTCCTCTGACCAAACCTAGGGTTCCCTCCCTTAAACAATTGCATCACAGTGCTTGCCAAAGCAGCATAACTGACCAGAAATGGCTTCTAATTAATGGTCCAGTTAATGCAGCTATTCTGTGATTATAGGCACACAAATATAATAGCTGGCATTTATACAGCTCTTCAAGGCACACTAGTTTATTTGGACTTCAAAAGGACTCTACTACAATTTTTATTAGCTCCATTTTACAGCTACAGAAAGAAACCAAGTCTCCAAGAATTTAAGTAACTTGACTATTGTCACAAAACTATTATGTATCAGATGCAGAACTCACTTACCACTCTCTTAACTACAGGTTCAGCACTCTTTCCAGTACAACACATAAAATTATAAAAGACACTACTGTAACCCAAATGAGCCCAGACAGCTATCTTTGACATCCCAGAACCCCTCACTTAACTTCCCAATCCCTGAGGCAAATCGTGAGGTATAGGTAAAGGAAGGAAATTGGGGTCAGTCTCTACCTCTGAGGGTCTCCAAGCTTTCAGCGCATCTTTCCTGTGCTGGACTGGGGCCTCCCCAAACAGTGGGTAACCTCTCTCCCCTTCCTCCTGCTTCTCCTAGCCGGGTTCGTTCGCAAGATCCGATAGTAGGGGATCATATGTGCTTGGGGGAGGCTCCCAGCACTCTGGGGCCGCACCGCGCTCACTCACCGTGCTTCCAGAGCAGTGGGGGGCTGGAAGGAGAGGTCCTCAGGGGTAAAGTCAGAGTCTTCCCAACAGCCCTGCGGAGATACATAGTACCGGTGCCAAGCACTCAGTCTCACAGTGCGGAGCAGCGCCCGGCTCAGGGAGCCACCCAAGTGGGCTGCCCGGTCCCGCCCCCAGGAGGAGCCCGGACTCACCGCCTCCGGCGGTCCAGCCCCCTTTTCAGTGGAACCGCGGGTCTAGAGTAAGAGACCGTCCAGGGCAAATTGATGCTACTCTTCCAAGAGGCTCTGTTAGAGCTGGTTCCGGAGCCAATTAAAAGCCATGCCGCGGGCACGCTGTGTGAGTTAATTCTGGTTACTTCCCACCCTTTTCAGAGTACGCTAGGCAGTTTTCAGAATGTCAGGGTATGACAAGTATCCAAGGGAAAGGACTAGAAAATGGTCTATCACTTGTCACATATAATTTAAACTCTCCATATCTTTGCTCACCCTCACATCTAAAAAATCCTGAAGAGGGACACTAGGGCCTTAGCATGAGGGAGTTGTGAGATCAAACCAAATGCACATCACATCAGGGGGTATTCTACTTTAATCTATTCAAAACAAGCATTTAAGTGCTTACGTTCCAGCCTAGAGACAGTTTGGCATAATGAATAGAGCTGGCCTCAGAGCTTGGAAAATCAGCATTCAAGCCCCACCTCCGACACCTATTGGCTATGTGACCCTGTTCAAGTCACTAAACATTTCAGTGACTACAGGCAACTAACACCCGAAGTTGTAGAACAGGCACCTATTTGCATTTGTAGAGGGAGTTCGAACACCCATGAAATCATAAGTTGGGAGAAAGGGGGCGCGAGTTAGATGCTGGGTATACAAATACAAAAGGAAGCAATATTTACCGTCTAGGAGATTTAATTTCTGTAAGATTAAAATTCCAGTGTCTCTACTGCTCTGGACAAGTCAAATAAATATTCCCATGATTAGGAAATGCTAGACTGTTGGCTTCACTTCTAGCATCCTAACATGTTGTCTTGAATGATTTCAGTATAGTTTGAGTATAACAGACACGATCATTTATACTTTAGAGGCAGAATAATGTAGCAAATACAACACTGGATTTGGAGTCAAGAAGGCCTGGGTTCAAATTCTCCTGGTGACATACTATCTGTTACCCTAGGCAAACTACTTAAGTTGGCTGTGCCTTGGTTTTCTCATCAATAAAATGGGGGAGGAAGCTTGTAGCCCTCTAAAGTGCCTGCAGTCCTAAATCTATTATTTTGTGATTGAATTATTTTAACAGCTGCAATAAATATAGCATGTATTATTTTCATGATTTCTGCTTTTGTTTGCAATATAGTTTGAGTAAATATGATAATTTATGACTTCAATGATTTCAGTCATTTAAGTAAATAAGGTAATTTATGCCTTCAGTGACTTTGGCATAGTTTGAATAAATATGGTATTTTATGCCTGCAAAGATTTTGATATAGTTTAGGTATAGGAAATAGGGCATGTATGCCTTCAATGATTTCGGCATAGTTTGGATACAGTAAATATAGTGATTTATCCCTTCAGTAACTTTGGCATAGCTGAATATAATAAATAATAGCACATAAATAATAGAGAAATTTAACCTTTCAATAATTTCAGCATAGTTTCAGTAAATATAGTCATTTATGCCTTTAAAGATTTCAGCCTGGTTTGAGTACAGTAATCACAGTAATTTATGGTTTCAGTGATTTCAGTATAGTTTAGAGATAGTAAATATGGCAAAATTACCTCTGCATGACTTTCTAAATTATTAGATTCCAAACTACTTGAAGGCAGGGACTATCTTATGTATCCTTGTTTTCCCTATGGCACCTAGCACAGTATCTTGCACAGATATGTTTAATATTAAGTTTAATATTTATAGAATAAATGAAAAGTCCTCAATTTCTGAACCTAATTCTAACATTCTCAAAGACTAAAAAAAATTATCACATACAACCATAACAGAAAACCCTGGTCAGAATTAGCTTTTTAACACTCTTGAAAACAGAAAGTTCAGCAAATTCAGTGGAGATCAAAATTTCAATCTGGGCAGCTAGGTGGGGTAAAAGTGTAGAATCTTTAAATACCCTTACCGAATAATGTTCGAAGTCCTTCAAATACTAGAATAGGAATTTATAGAGCTAGAGCTGGAAAGGACCTCTGAAGTCCTTTAGTCCAACCTTTTCATTTTACAGAAAGGGAAACTGAGGCCAGGAAGGTAAAGGGAACTTATCCTAGATCAAACAGATAGCAAGTTATAGAGTCAAGATTTGAGTCTAGGCCATGACCCATGATTGTGAGATTTCCACTATAACACGGTGCGTCCATACGAGTTAATGCTTTCCATCTGATTGGCAATAAGTGCAGTTTCCTGGAAACTAGCAAACATCCATTTCAGTGGGGCCTTGAGGGTTTAAAGAATTTGCTGCCAAGGCAAGTTGGCAAAATCTAGCTTTCCTGCCACTGAAGCTTAATTATTCTTGCCATAATAAAATGAACTGCATCTTTGAAACTTGGCCTGGTTGTCAGGGAAGTATTTGAGTCAAATGTAGCAAATCATATATGTGGTTGATTGACTTGTACAGTTTCCTTTGACGGTCTCTGCATCTTTGCACGAAGTTTCTCTCTCATGCCTGGAATATGTTGTCTCCAAACTTCTATTTCTTGGAATCTGCTCAGGCATTCAGTGCCCTTCACCTCAGCCTGACGTAGGGAGAGTTGGTCAGAGGCTAGATGAAATTGTACTTTATTCCAAAGCAGATGCCACTTGATCAGGCCCAGTTGAGGGACCCACGGCTTATCTATAAGGGCTTCCCGGGTGATTGTTTAGGCCTGTCGATCAATATGCTATGCTGCAGGTCCATGGTGACCAGCGAAAAAGGGAAGAGAAGGGACTAAGCATTTATATAGCACCTACTGTGTGCCAGGCACTGTGCTAAGTGCTTTTACAAGATCAGAAAATCAACTTCGAAATTCTTGAACTGAAAAGCTTCTGTACAAATAAAATTAAAGTGTCTGGATTAAAAAAAGTACTGGTTAAATGGGAGGAAAATCTTTGTTATCAGAATTCTCAGGCAAGGGTTTCATATGTATGCACACATATACATACATGTATACATACATATACAACCAAAATATATAGATACCTATATATATATATATATATATACACATATATATTCTTAAGATGAAAAGCTAGTCTCAAGTAGATAAGTAGTCAAAAGATAAGGAGTACTCAAAAGATTGCAAACTATTAAAACCATTATGAAAGAATGCTCTAAATCACGAATAAAAAGAATAGCTAACATTTACGTAGAACTTACTGTGTGCCAGGCACTTTACAATTACTATCTAATTTTATCCACACAACAACCCTGGGAAGTAGGTTCTATTATTATCCCCATTTTACAGATGAGGAAACTGAGGTTAAGTGATTTGCACAGGACCACATAGTAAGTGTGTGAGATCGGACATGAACTCATCTCCTTGATTCTAGTCCCGGCACTCTATCATGCACCACCTAGCTGCCTCAAATCTAAATAATCCTGAGATTTTTACCTCACTAACAGCAAATTGGAAAAGATGACAAAGACAGGGTTGTGAGAAAATAGGCACATTAGGGCAGTCTTTGTAGAGCTTTGAATGAGTACAACCATTTTGGAAAGCAATTTGGAATTATGCGAATAATCGCATATTATCTGGACTAAAATGTCCATATTCTGACCCAGAGATTACATTCCTGTGTATATACGTGAAGAAAGTCATTGGTAAGAAGAAAGTCTATTTGTACAACAATTTATTTATACCAGCTTTTTTTTTTTTTTTTTTGTGGTAGCAAAGAATTGGAAACAAAGTAGATACCCACTGACTGAGGGATGGCCGAACGAATGGCAATATGTGAATGCAATGGAATGTTTCTGTGCTGTAAGCAATGATGAGCATGATGAATACAGAGAAGTATAGACTCACTCGATCTGATGCAGAGTGAAGTAAACAGAGCCAAGAATTCAATATATATATTGACTACAACAATGTAAATGAAAAGAACAATAACCGCAAATCAAAAGTAAATGTTGCAGATTTACGAAGAACAAACATAGCCCTATAGAAAAGATAAGGAGACACCTCCCACCCCATTCCTTTGCAGAAATAGAAAGGTGGATCAGTGGAACTGAGTAAGACATAAAATACAAAGTAGTAAATGATTATAGTAACCTTGTGTTTAAGAATTGTAAAGATTTAAGCTTTTGGGAAAAGAATTCACTATTTTGTAAAAATTATTGGGAAAAGTGGAAAGCAGTCTGGCAGAAACTGGATATAGACTAATATCTTACATCATTTACCAAGATAAGGTCAAAACGAATATATGACCTAACTATAAAACTATATAATAAATATAAAAGGGAGATATCATAAGTAAATTTGAAGAACATAGAACCTATTACCTATCAGACTTAGGGATAGAAGAATTTTTTTGAGCATTGTGAGATATAAAATGGATAATTTTGATTACATTAAATAAAAAAGTTTTGTACAAATAAAACTAAAGAAGCCAAGATTAGAAGGAATGTACAAGATTGGGGGTAAAATTTTATAGAATTTCTCGGATAAAAGCCTCATCTCAAATATAGAGAATTTTATCACATTTATAAGAATATGAGTCATTCCCCAATTGAAAAATGGTCAAAAGATATGAACAGGCAGTTTTTTGTTTTTTTTGTGAGGCAATTGGGTTAAGTGACTTGCCCAGGGTCACACAGCTAGTAAGTGTTATGTGTCTGAGGCCAGATTTGAACTCAGGTCCTCCTGACTCCAGGGCCAGTGCTCTATCCACTGTACCACCTAGCTGCCCCAGAACAGGCAGTTTTTTGAAGAACTCAAAACTATACATGGTCAGATGAAAAAATCATTATTAATTAGAGAAATTCAAATTAAAACAACTTTAGATATCACCTCACACCTATCAGATTGGCCAAAATTACAGCAGGGGAAAATGACAAATGTTTGGAGGGGATGTGGAAAAATTAAGGCACTAATACAATGTTGGTGGAATTGTGAACTGATCCAACCATCTTGGAGAACAATCTAAAATTATGCCCAAAGAGTTATGAAACTGTGTATCCCCTTTGGCCCAGAAATACCACTATTAGGACTGTTTCCCAAGGTAATCAGGGAAAAAAAACCCTATATGCTTTAAAATATTTATAGCAGTTGTCTTTTGGTGGCAAAGGAATGCCTCCATTTCAATTGAGAAACTTGTTTAGATAAGTTGTGGTATATGCTTGTGATGGAATATTACTTGTGCTGTAAGAAATGAGCCAGCTTGATTTTAGAAAAACATAGAAAGATGTGCATGAAATAGTGAAGAGTGATATGAGCAGAACCAAGAGAACATTGTATACAGTAACAGAAATAGTTTGAAGAATAAATGTGAACAACTAAGTTACTCTGAGTATTACAAATACTCAAATCAACTACAAAGGACCTATGAAGTGCTATCTACCTCCAGAGAAAAAACTGATTAAAAAAAGTATGCATAATATGGTTTTACATATATATAAAATCTATATCAATGGTGGCCTTCTCTAGTGTGGGATTCAGGGAGTTTGTAACTTAAAATAACAAAAAAATTTTTTTAAATATCTCATTTTATCCTAAAAAAAAGTTTGTTACATGAAATGGCTGGTTATGGGATGGGGGAGGTGAGAAATTTAATATTTGGGAGAAATTTTAGCAATGTAAAGAACAAAATATTAAAATTTTATTCAAAACTTTTTTTAGCATTCAGCAGAATACTCATGGCTGTTTAACTTCCTATCAAACCACTTACTCATTTCCTTTAACAATACACACAATTACCCATTTAACACTGATGAATTGTCAAGGAAGACATGTTTTCTGTGTGTACCCCAACTTATTTTTCTTCCCTTTTAGTAGAACTGACTTTTCTCACCGAGGTATTTGATTCTACTTTCATGTTCACTGGCATAAGAACATCTTTTCTTGCCTGTTTCATCTTCCTTGCCTGTAATTTTTAAAAATTTTCTGTAATTAAAAAAGTTGCAAGGAAACAAAATTCTTCTGTGACACTTCTTGAAAGTTTGTCCTTGTTATTACCAAAGTCTTAATTACGTCATTATTAACTTGTTCTTTATATCCCTATCACCTATATGCCTGTTTATATCTCTATAGCACAGATTGTTGCTTGATTGACTAGTGGCATTTGGAACACACCCATGTTTAGTACAGAGTACTGTGCTGTGACCACTAAAAATGTACATGCAGACAGTACTAGTCCTCATTTCCAAAGGGGAAACAAACACATTTGTTTTTACCCTTAGTATTTAAAAGCTTACAAAAACTAGAGACAAAAACAGGAAAATATTAAGGGAGAAAAACAGTACTGCTAGTACCCTTAGCATAAAGAGTACCCCAAGGTGAAGGGCGCCCTGGTGAAGAGGCTATCCAAATCCAGATTGGAAGTTTGTTTCATAGCATGGTGGTAAATAGATTTAAAAAATCTTTAGTAAATATTTCTCAGAACAATAGAGTTTTGAATAAGTCCAATCTGTGACATGCTGTTTCTGTTCAATTTATTTTTCTGTCTTCCATTATTAAATAATTTTCAAAATAAAGTTCACTGCCACACATGCTTTTTAAACTGCAGCAGGCTTGGGCAATATTCATTACCATGTTGCAACTAATACTGGCCTTGAGCACATTCGTGACATACTTTTTTGCCTAGCTAGGAAAACAGGCAGAGATGACGTGATGGCATTGCCTACCCACCATAGCTGACAAGAAAATCTTTACTTGATTGTGATGATGCTGGCATCTACGATGACACTACATTAGCCTTTCAAATTGATTTAAAGGGCTGTTTTTTGACAACACAAATTGTATTTCCCCAGAGTAGTTTTCTGAAGAAATAAAGAGCACTATTCAGGGATCTGTTCCTAAGTCAGAAATTACTGCCTTTTTTCTGAAGCTGAATTTCATTTCATAGGATCACAGGCTTTAGAACTAGAAGGGACCTGACCTAAGAGGCGAGTCCGAATGCTCCTCTCCCACCTATTTTGCAGATTAGAATACTGAGGCCCAGGGAGGTTGATTGACTCATACATGGTCACACAGGAAGCAAATATAAGAGGCAGGATTTTATCTTAAGTCTTCTGACTTGAGGCAGTGTGCTTTCCACTGTTATATCATGTTCATTGTCTCCTCAGAGGCCAGACTGTATATTTCTGCTATCAATGTATTAAATATAACAAAATAGAAAATAACGTAAGATACAAATAAACAGTGGGCAAGTGTTAAGTATAACAGAAGATCTTAATCAAGATCTTCCTACCCCAAGTACAGGGTTTAAGTTTTATCGGCTTTGAGTTGCACTAAAACTTTTCTGACACCCTGTTATTTTGATGAAAAGGAAATCAACATGTTAAATGACCAAATTTTAACTCCAGAGCACAAAGTACTTCCCATTTCCATCCAAGGCACTTTATTTCCACTGTGGTCAAATTTTAACTGCTATTGAATACTTCAAAAACTTTCTAATTCAAATGGGTTTTCATCTACACCATAATCTAGGAGGAAAAATCTTGCTAATGTATATATTCTAGGTAATACCCTAAATGTGACTATAGCTTTCACTGCTTTATGGTTTTTAATGTTTGTTGAATGACTAGGTCAACTTAGAAATATTATTTAGCTTCTAAATCTATATTAAATAGGACTGACAAGAATAACAATTGTCAATTAAAAAATGACCATGACTGAAGGTCTTCAGTTGGTATCACCTTGTGACTTTATTTTTCTGGATGGAGGACAAAGAATAATGACTGAAGTTTAAAAAAAAAAATGTTTCTCAGTTTAAAGGGATAAAATTAACTGCTGCTCTTAACAACAGGTAATTTTTCTGTATAATTTGCAAATAAAGTTACTAGATGTAAAATTCTTTTGGGTACTGGTTCTAGGTCCCCTTAGGAAAAGACTTAATCAGAATTGGGATATACTTTAAAATATAGATAAGCAGAATTATAAAGGCAGTGATTTTTCCCACATTAGAGAAAAAATAGAATAAAAAGAAGATATGATCTAATGCTCACTAAAACGTATCCAAGTCCAAACAAATGAAAGGGCATGCTGTTATTACAAGTAGAATTTTAAATTTCTCTACCAGTAAGGGTCCTCAGGACAAATCAGCTTTGGTATATTTTCATTGAGAAGCAGGTGCTTTTCCGGGTCCTCCTCCTTTTTTATTTTCTTTCTTGTGACTTCTCAGAGCACTTCCCTTGTATTTCCAGGAAACTTTACATTCGACTTGGTATCGTAATTACTTAGGCAAATCGAACCTGCCCTATTAAATGTCAAACTCTTCAAGGAAAAGGATCATCTTAATCATTTCTGTATCCCCTCAGTCCCTGACAATTTATACACTAAGTCATAGCCTATAAAACAGACCTACAAGAAGGGCTAACTGGTTAGTTTAAGCACCTGAAACAGTGAAGAAAGGATAGGAACTCAAAGGTAAATCATAAACTTCCAAAGGGCAGAGTTAGAATGCTAGATTAGGTACCCATCTATACATTTTTTCTAACTCCAAATGACTATGCTAGAAGAAAATAAAGAGGGTGACCTTTTCTGATTTACTAAAAGCATCTCTGTCTTCTCAATCTGCTAAACTGTTAAATAATTAACATTCTGATTGTGAAACAAAACTTCACATATGGAAAAAAATCAGCTTGGCAGAATTATATTAAAACTACCAGCTAAAAGAAAATTCCCACAAACTTCCTGAATGAAGACCAGTGTTATGGCAATGTTGTATCTGATGACAGAGCATAAGTGCTGTAAAATATTAACAAGTGTTCAACTTCAGGCAGTGGTTTTTATTTTTAGTTTTTATTGAAATTCTTAATTTGCTTATCTCTGTTAATGCCTTTAAAATGTAAGTAAGGTCCTTCTCATCTATACAAGTGGATTAAATACTGGTTCCAAACTGACTTTTCTACAAGTTGATAGGATGGATATAACCTGAAAAGTGGGCAGGTATCCCTTTTTTAGATAACTTTTTATTTGTACATTCTGTGACACTGTACAGAAATCCTAACACAAGTTGCTTTTCTGATACATTATTCAACGGACCCACAAACTGGTTGTCATCACTTCTTACAGCACACCTAAAAGCATGGAAGAAAAAAAGAACAGTATTAGCCTGGAACAGTATTATTTTAATTAGCCAAACCTTTATCATGGTAAAATTGAAGAGTGGTTGTCTAGGACAGGAGTGTCAAACTCACCATATGTGGCCCACAGCTCTCCCAAGTGCTACCCAAACCAGACTAAACTAAAACTGGGAAATATTTAACAAAATAAACAAAAATACAATAAAACACAGATAATATTAGATTTAAAAACTAAGCCAATACGCAGCCTGCAAAGTGTATATATATACATATCCTTATGTATGGATTAGTGGCCCATGTTTCTGTATGAGTTTGATATCACTAGTCTAGGATACTGAAATTCAGAGTCTGATTCTATTTCATATATTTGATATGTGTGTCATCTTACCTATGTTTTCAATGTCTATAATGTCTATAGTATATAACTAATGTACATATGATGTATAAAACTAAACTCAATATTCAATAGAATATAAGCATATCCTGTTTTGAACTGCAATAAAGCATGAAAATCCAGATTTGCAAAAAAATAAATTAGAGGGTGATTCTTTGTTTTATAAAAGCATCAACTACTGGATTCTTTAAAATAGTAAGTGCTTTAAATGCATATAAAATGGTACTGAAATTATGTAAACTGAGTTCACTTTTATCAAGCTACACCTGAAGTTTGTAATTTTGTACAAAAGCTAAGGAATGCAAGGTATTCTGTACATGTTTATTATTTGCTGTAATGACACTTACAATTACATTTCAAAATAGAGAAAAAGAAAAATCAGACTAAACCATTCTCATCAGTTTTACTGCACTTAGGAGTACTATTTCCATTACTTCCAACTGCTACAATCAGAAAAACAAATACTCCTGCACCAGTACTCATAGTTCTCTCCTAAATACTAATTCCCAAGAACACTAAAAAGATATGTGACTTTCTCATGATGGGGAATTGCTGAGGTGGGAATGCCCTCCACCAATACAGAACAACCAGCCTACAATTCTATAGACTGGTACTATGATTGCCTGAAACACAAACAGTTAAGTCAGTTGCCCAGAGTCACAGAACTATTCCTTCTAAGAGGTGGAATCCATGGTCTTCTAAGTCTAGCACACTCTCCACCAGGCCATGAAAATTTAACCTTAAATAACAGACTGACATAATCACATCTATATCAAAGTATAACGAAGGGTCATTCATCACTTTCTTTATCATGGCATAAGACTTGCCTTCTCTAAGAAACCTTCCTCAACTCACTCAGATCCACTTTCTCTCTTTGCACTCTCTAATTGGCAATAATGTGTATGATTTGTTGTATACGATTTTAACTTACTTATGTTTTCTAGTAATTTCATTTTAGTTTTTGTGCCCTCATGGTTTACCACACAGTAGGTATTTCTTGAACTGAACTGTTTCTTCTATTACAACTAGAATTAGAAATTATTTGAGATCAGGTACTATATTTTAATTTCCTTTCTACTGCTGTCCCCAACCCCATTCCCACCCCCAAACAATGATTCTGGGCATACACAGAATAATCAGTGCATATTTATTGCTGAGTGAATAGTAACTAATTATTTCTGGTCTTTAATGTTTATGAATAAGTAGTGAATAAGGAGGTGGTGGAAAGAAAAGAAAACTAAATGGGAAGATTTAAAAAAAAAACAACCTGATTTGGAGAACAAAACTTAAACCTTAAAGGTATAGAAATTCATGAAACCATCATATGCCCTGTTTTAAAGTTAATGTTTCCTGCTTCAATACTGACCATCTTTAATCAGCTATGTTTCTGACTCATTAGTAATTTAAATTACATTTTTCCAGATAGGCATGATAATGCAGTAATCAGATACTGAATGTCAACATTTTAAGAAAAGATTATTCAGATTGCCTGGCATAGTGGATGGAGAACCAGCCTCTAAGTCAGAAAACCATGAGGTTTAAATCCTGCCTCTGACACATTCTGGACAAGACATTTCATCTCTTAGTACTGGAAGCGTGTCTCGGAGACTGTAAGCTGAAGAGCATTTCTACTGGTACAGGGAGTTTCCTCATCATCATCCCTGTACTAATGAAATCACAGGTCCAGTCTGCAAAATAGATTATGTATAAGGATGCATAGGAGTCAAGATACTATTAGGCTCTTTGATACAAAGATGAAAACAAAAAATGGCAGTGTTTGTTTCTTTTTTGCTTTGGTACTCCTAGGGCTCATCACAGTGCCTTCCACATAATGAGTGATAAATAAATGTTTAATGGATGAATTTTTGTATATGTAGTGGTACTTGTGTGGGGGTGCATGAGGGAGTATGATATAGTGGAAAAATAACCACTCATTGGATTTGGAGTTAGATGACCTGGAATCTAATACTGTTTCTGATATTTAATAACTATATGATCTTGTGCAGTAGTAATAATAGTAGAAGCAGCAGCAGCAATGATAATAATGACATATATACCAAAAAAAGAAGATAACAAGACACTATAATTCAAAAAGTTTTGATACAAAACAATACTTCAAAGATCTATAATGTGGATACTCCTTCTTGTGAAGCATATGTAATCCTTCTGAACTGAAAAATTCACCACCCTCCAGCCAGCCTGGTAGTGAACGTGTTCAAACTTACCTAGGCTGTTCCTGCAATGTCAGACATACAGGACCTGTAAAATGAGTGTTTTTTCTGGAGAGCAATTTTGAAATATGCCCAAAGGGCTATAAAAATGTGCATACCCTTTGACCCAGCAATACTACTTCTAGGTCTCTATCCCAAAGAGATCATAAAAAACGGGAAAAAGATCCACATGTAAAAAAAGTATTTATAGCAGCTCTTTTTGTGGTGGCCAAGAATTGGAAATTGAGGGAAATTTGTGGAATGGCCGAACAAGTTGTAGTACGTGAATGTAATGGAATACTATTGTGCTATAAGAAATGATGAACAAGCAGACTTCAGAAAAACCTGGAAAGGCTTATATGAACTGATGCTCCACCAGAACATTGTACACAGTAACAGCCACCTTGAGCGATGACTGACTTTGATAGACTTAGCTCTCCTCAGCAATGCAAGGATCTGACACATCTCCAAATGACTCATGATGGAAAATGATATCCACATCCAGAAAAAGAACTTTGGAATCTGAATACAGATGGTAGCATACTATTTGCTTTCCTTTTCTTTTATTGTTTTATTTTTTCTTTCTCATGGTTCCTCCCATTAGTCTTAATTTTTCTTTACATAATGACTAATGCGAAAATATGTTTAATATGAATGCATTAAGTAGAGCCTGTATCAGATTGCATGCTGTCTTGGGGAGGGGGGAGGAAAGGTAAGGAGAGAAAATTTAAAACTTAAAATCTTATGGAAATGAATGTAGAAAACTAAAAATAAATTAATTATAAAAAATACAGTGGGTGCTTTATTAGCAAAGAACATAGCTCACTCTCACACACTGATGAAGCATTAGAGTAGGATTTTATATAGAAAACAACATGATCTAAATAAGTGTTAATGATGTAACAAGAGAAACCACTGATATAGTTTACTCAGAAATTTGCCAGATTGACATTACAAGATAACAGCCATTTCCAAAAATCTTTTTAATTTATAAACTCCTATGTACTTACAATTAGGAAAGAAGAAGATTTATTCTAGACCTTTTCTTCTTTCATACTCTAAAATATCTTCTTCACGTTGGTGGAGGAGCTAGAAGATAGTAATAGTTAAAAATAGAAAAAGTTTGCATGTCAGTTTTTTCTTCTTTGTTTTTTTTCTTCCCAATGATTCCCTTGTGCCCCTTACTTTTGTAAAAAATAAGTACAGTCAAGCAAAAACAAACCAAGATATTGGCTATGTCTGAAGATGTAAGCCTTATTCATTCTATACTTGTAATCTACCACCTCTCTGCTGAGAGGTGTTTTTCCCTGAGAAGTTTCAAAGGAGCAATCTGTTAACAATTATATTTTTCAGGATCAGGTTAGACGAAAATAATTAGGACTTTTGAATTATGTATGATATGAACAGGGTGAACATAATACTTATTTAAAAAAATTTGGCACAAAGGAACTAAAGGCATCCTTTGAAGCTTAAAGAGGTTCAATTCAGGATAAATAAAAGGAAATTCTACTTTATACTATACATAGTCAATACATCTATCCCATGAGTTGGTATGCATGGAAATAACATTTCAAGAAGTATTTAAATCTATTAACAGGTGCTAGAGCTGTAATTGGTTATAAGCGAACACAGTTGAACTGGGGGTCTATTTCTAAACTTCTGAGTTTTATATCATGGAAGATAACTCATGTGCAGTTATAAAATACACACTGATACCACTGTCAGAGTTATGTAATCACCCATCTGTTTTGGCATGACACTCTGTTTGTTCCCCTGTCTTGTTCCAGTTATTATCTTCCTTCCTTCAGTTTTGTCTCTGTGCCATTGTCATAAACCAAATACTCTTAATTAAAACTGAAGTGAACCAAATTGGAAGATTCCTTCTATTACTTAAGTAAAGTAAAACAAAGTCTTATTACAAACAAATATTAAAAAGTATGAATTCACAAATTAATCATTGTTTAATCAAGAAACAAGTAACCTTCAACTCCCTTTACCTTCTTTCCCAATTACACCTATGAGAAAACTCAAGACGACAAAAAAGTAAGAGTTTGGAGGAGAAAAAGGGAAGGAAGAAAGAACCCTGAGTATGTACCACGTTGACCTTTCTTTTTAATTATTATGTCACTAGAGAAGTTCTTATTCACCCCTCTTATTTTGAGATCCTATCAACTGCTACTGTGATTTCCAGCAATGTATTTACCACAAAAAGTCTGATTATAGAAATCCAGTTTTAAGGTTCATAATCAATCAATCAATAAATATTTATTAAGCACCTACTATGTGGTAGTCACTGTGCTAAATGCTGTGGATACAAAAAGAGGTAAAAGATTGTCCCTGACCTCAAGGAGCTTGTCATCTCATGGGGGGATACAAGATGCAAACAAATATAAACAAAGCAAGCTATAAATATAAATAGGAAATTAAATAGAATTCATAGGAAAAATAGGAAATAATTAACAGAGGGAAAGCAATGGAATTAAGAAGGGATGGGAAAGCTTCCAGTAAAAGAAGGGATTTTAGTTGGCACTTAAAAGAAGCCAAGGAGGTCAATATTTGGAGCAGAGGAGGGACAGTATTCAGTTGAGGAACCGCCAGAGAAAGTGCCCACCTACAGATCGAGTGTCTTGTTTGTGGAACAGCCAGGAGGCCAGTGTCACCGTATTGAAGAGTATATGTTGGTGAGTAAGGTGTAAGAAGACTGGAAAGGTAAGAGGGGGCCAGGTTTGAAAGGGCTCTGAATGCTAAACAGAGAATTTTGTATTTCTTCCTGGAGGCAATAGGAAGCCACCTGAGTTAACTGTGTAGGGGGTGGGGTGAGGGTTTGAGACATAATTGGACCCAAGCTTTAGGAAAATAACTTTAGTGGTTGAAGGGAGGATGCATTGGAGTGGGGAGAGACTTGAGAGCTATTGTAAAGGTGACATCAACAGGCCTTATCAGCACATTGGATAGAGAGGTTAAGAGATAATGAGGAATCCAGGATGACTCCTAGGTTGTGAGCTTGACGGATTTCAAAGATAGTCTTGGTCTCTACAGGTAATAATGGGGAAGGTGGGATGGGGGGGGGTATGAAGGTGTGGAGGGATTTAGGAGGAAAGATAATGAGTTCAGTCCTTTAAGATGTTTAATGGACATATAGTTCAAGGTGTCTGAAAAGCAGCTGGAGATGTGAAATTGGAGGTGAGCAGAGAGTTTGGGGCAGAATAGTTAGATTTGAGAATCATCAGCATAAAGATAGTAATTAAATCATGGGAACTGATGAGATCACCATGTGAAACAGGATAGAGGGAGAAGAGAGTAGGCCAGAACCCTGTAGGTCTAGGAGGAAGTAGGTCTAGGAGTTTGAATTGATCCTCTGTAGAAGATCTTTTGGAAGACAGGAATAATACAGGATAAGAAGGCATTCATGAGTTATGATCTACATCTCTGGAGGGAATGACATACATGGATTAGATCACAGATCTATTAAAGCATGGAGGTATATGCAGTAATATAGGGAATGATTAAAATCTTTGAGTTATGAATAGTAATGTTTTCAGGTAACAGATTAATTTTTAGGATAAAACCTTGAAGGATATGTATGGTTAGAGGGCATAATTTGGAAAAAGATTCAGCCATAGAGTTGTAATAATGGAATTTTATTTCTATATCCTGTTAATTGTTTTTGCTCTTTCCTGCACCAAGTCGATGAGATGTCGAGGTGACTCTAAGGCTACCAAAAGGCAGAATACAGTAAAAGTCTGGAAAAGATGTCACAATAGGCTAACACAATTCTGATTTGCAAGAAATACTGAAAAGGATCGACTTCCCTATACCTAATCCCTTTTCCTTTCCTGGACATTACCAGAAATGTCAAAAGAATCTTTGTGTTTCCACTTCTATTACTTTGGGAATTTCCCCCACTGTTTACAGACTTTACAGTGTTATAATACAAAAACATTCCTTGGGTTTCTTTATCTCCTCTTCTAGAAAGAAAACCATTCTACACTTTGAACATATATAACATTCAATTGGCTGTCTTAAATTCAGGTTCAAAACATCACTTTCAAAACTACAAGACAGGGGAGGCATGGATATATATATATATATACAGCTTATCTGAAAAAAGATCTGTGGGTTTTACTGAATCTTAAATTCAATGTGGGTCAATAGTATAACATGGCAGCCAAGAAAGTTAATGTGATCTTAGGAGGCATCAAGAGGCACAGATTCCAGGAAGGAGGCGATAGTCTTGCCCTACTCTGTACAATGTCCATTTTGGAAAGGTGACGGATGAGCTAGAGATGGTCCAAAGGTCAATTAGGATAGATGTCAAGTTGATGACATATAATGATTAGTTTAAAGAAGTTGGAGAAGCCTTGGAGGTGGTGGAGGAATGACAGTTGTCATTAAGAAGAAATATCACTTGGAAGAAGGTTAAGACTAGCTCTGCTTAGCCCCAGAGGGCAGAACTAGTTGGAATGGGTAGAAGCAGGCTTGATGTGAAGGAACTTTCCAACAGAACTACTGAAAAGTGGAACAGGCTGCTTCTGTGGCCAGAGTGTTCTCCTCTACTTCCTTTACTGAAAGTGAAGCAAAAGCTAGATGACCACTTGCCAGGTATGTCATAAAGGAGATTCTTTCTGAAGTAGTTTTGACCAGATGGTCCCTGAGATCCCTTCCCACTCTCAAATTCTATAATCTACACAAGTCTGCCAACAGATCAAACACAACCAGCAACTTTCCATTTCATAATAACCTTTAGTTCCCACCACTACCCTTCTGTTTCCCATACTGAATAACTTGATTCTCTGTAGAAGGAAATACTTACGAAGGCCCACAGGCCTGCAGTAGTGCCCAAGGTTAATATAACTTTCAGCCAGTTGGGTTTGTCATTTTGGTTGTCCCGAACGTAAAATGCTGAACGAACCAAAGCTGAAATAGGAAACAAATATGCATTTTCGAGTTTTATTTTTTTTTTTTATTTTTTGGCTAGGCAATGGTGTTAAGTGACTTGCCCAGGGTCACACAGCTAATAAGTATAATGTGTCTGAGGCCGGATTTGAACTCAGGTCCTCCTAAATCCAGGGCTGGTGCTCTATCCACTACGCCACCCAGCTGCCCCCATTTTTGAGTTTTATTGATGATTTATTTATAACTAATATAACTGGCTGATAGCCTTTCTAGGCATTTTTTAAATGGAAAAAAGATATCTGATTGAGTGTGCCCACTGTAGATTACGTCCACAGCAGAATGGATGTGGGAGGTAGCATTGTGTAATAATACAAAGTACTAGGTTTCTCAGACCATGTGACTTCATATAGTCTGACTTTGCATTTATGAGCTGTATGGCCCTGTGTACATACCATCTGGTTTTCTACCCTTTAATGCACTTACATATATATTAGTGTGCATTTCACAGTCTCTATTGGTGTTTTATTCCTCTGTTCACTTCAAGAAGTATTTATTAAGTGCCTAGGATATGTTAAGCACTCTGATAAACACTGGAGACACAAAGACAAACCTAAACAATCCCTGCCCTCGAGAAGCTTATATTATAGGGGGCAGCTAGGTGGCGCAGTGGATAGAGCACTGACCCTGAAGTCAGGAGGACCTGAGTTCAAATCTGGCCTCAGACCAAACACTTGACACGGCCTAGCTGTGTGACCTTGGGCAAGTCACTTAACCCCAACTGCCTCACCAAAAAAAAAAAAAAGAAAAAAGCTTATATTATATTGGAAAAAAAACTGTCCTCAAATTAAAAATATTTTGGCAGGAAAAACAGATCTGTGATTTTACCCATGTAGAGAAACTCCTTCCATTAACGCAAATCAGTGTCTGCTCAGTAAATCAGTTTTAGAGAGTTGCCTGGAGGCACTAAGAGGTTGAGACTTATCTAGTAAAACCATCCAAAGTAAATTCAGAGAATAAGGTGGAAAGAACATTACCAACTAATTTGGATCAGGAAAGGCCTCGAGTAGGAAGTGGGAATGTGAGCTGAGCCATCTAGGCATCCAATGAGGCAAAGCTAAGAAGGAAGTTCATTATGGAAAGTGTGTGCAAAGGCACAGAGATGGAATGTTGTGAATGGGAAACTGCAAGAAGTTCTAGGATGGTAGGATGGTAGCTACTATAATCTCTATTTGATTACTGTCAAATAATACTTTTTAGTGTTCAGTTGTATCTGACTCTTTGTGACCCTGTTTGAGGCCTTCTTGACAAAGATACTGGAGTGGTTTGCTATTTCCTTCTCCACCTCATTTTACAGAGGAGGAAACTGAGGCAAACAAGGTTAATAAGTGTCTGAGGTCACTCAACAAGATAAGTCTTCCTGCCTCATGGCCCAGCACCTTATTCACCGCACCACCTAGCTGCCAACAATAATAATAACTAACACGTATATAGTGCTTGCTCTGTGCCAGGCACTGTGCTAAGTGTTTTACAATTATTATGTCATTTGACCATCCATTTTACAGATGAATAAACTGAGACAAACAGAGCTTAAATGATTTGCCCAGGATCACAGCTAGTAAGGGTCTGAGAGTAGACTTGAAGTCTGGTCTTCCTAACTCCAGGCTCAGGTGCTCTATCCACTTGTGCTACTCTGGGCCTGTTTGCTTAGATGTAAATTGGAAATAATATCATTAAATAAAATACCAGCTCCAGAAGGGCCCATTAGTTACGGGGTTGGGGTCCTATCTTACGAACCCAAGGGGCCCTTGGTGCTGATGCACACAGCATCAAGAATAAGAAATAAGAAATATTTGCAGCCTCACATATGGTGCTAGACAATCTATATAAAGTCCCCTTCTAGCTCTAAAACCTAAAAGATGGCTGGTACAGTGGAGAGTTAGCCTCGGAGTGAGCAAGACCCGAGTTCAAATCCTGCCTCACATGTATATTGGCTGAATGGCCCTGGGCATCTCGCTTAACCTCTCGGCCTCAGTTTCCCATCTGTAAAATAAGCATAAGAAGCAACCCTTAAAGTGCTACACAAACAAGAGCTGACATAACCGACAGATATTGTCCCACTTTCCAAGCATGAAGGGAGACTGCAGTTAATGGAGAAGTATGAAGAAAGGGGGGGAGGGGCCAGGACTTGGGGTGGCCGCAGTGGAGGGGCACGAGTTGGGGGTGAAGGAACGCAGCAGGGGAGGGACACGGCTGGGGGGGGTGTGCACGCGACCCGGGCCGAAGGTCACGGACAAGGCCCGACCCGAGCCACGCATGAACCGCGCCTCCCTCCTCCCACTCGCTCCCTCCAGGGATCAGAAGAGGAGTGGGCCCCAGGGAAGCCGTCGCGGGCCGCGGGGACACTCACTGTGGCGTGGGAGCCGGGTCCCGGAGAGGAGCCGGCACAGCTGCGGGAGCAGCATCAGGGACGGCACCATCTTGGTCCGCACGTCTTCCTGGAGCCCCGCCTCCGACCACGTGACCCCACACGAGCCCCGCCCCAGGCTCGGTCCTGGCGGGGGGCGGGGCTTTGTGACGTCAGTGTGTTCCAGGCTCCGCCCTGGCCCCGCCGCTCCGCCCTGGCCCCGCCCCTCCGCCCTTTCCGCTTCCGTTTATCAAGTCGGTGAAGTGGGACCTGGGGCTTAAGAGTGAAAAACAGGAAAAGGCTAATCTCCCTCTTTGGCCCAGCCACAGTCGATCCCTTACGCCATGCTACCTCTGGAAGCTGGGTTGTTTTTTTTTTTTTTGTGGGGGGAGGTGTTGGACTAAATGAGAGCTTCCTAACTTTTGGCACTTTGGCGAAGGAAGAAAATAAGCATGTATGAAACGCCTACTATGTGCTGGGCTCTGTGCTAAGCGCTTTACAGATATCTCATTTGGTTCCCACAACAACCTTGATTGTTGCTATTGTTATATCCATTTTATAGAGCAGGAAACTGAGGCCGACAAAAGTGAAAAGACTGCCAGGGAAGCGTCAGGGTTTGGGTTTGAATTCAGATCTTCCTGACTCCAGGCGCCATCTAGCTGCCTCATATGTGAAGACTATGGGCCCCTTCTCAGAGTGTTTTTAACCGATTGAAGGAAATACTAAATTTCGGTTAGAGATGAGTGAAAATAATGTTCCCCAAGAACGCTTGAAATTTATTTAGCAAAGGACTCTCCCTCTCTCGGCTCCAGACCTTTTCTCTGGCTATTCCTCATGCCTGGAATGGTCTCCCTCTTCCACTTCAACTACTGATTTGCAGGGCTTCTTTCCCAACTAAAATCCCATCTTTTATTGGGAGCCTTCTCCAACCCCTTTAATTGTAATGTCTTCCCTCTTTTAATTATTTCCTATTTATCCTGTATAGAGCTTGCTTTGTGTATATTTGTTTGCATCTTGTCTTCCCCATTGGATTGTAAACTCCTTGAGAACAGGGACTGTCTTTTATCTCTTTTTGTACCTGTAGCTCTCAGCATAGGGTATAAATGTTATTGATTGATTGATTGGGACCTCAGGTTAGGAACCCCTGGACCAGATGGTCTCTAAATTCCCTTCTAATCCCTAGAGAAAATTACTCAATCTTTCCAAATTCCAGATTCCTCACCTGTAAAATGAGGGTGCTTAATTTTTTTTTTTAGGCAATTGGGGTTAAGTGAGGTGCTTAATTAAATGACTTCTAAGGTCCCTTCCAAGTCTAAATCAGTGATCCCATAAAATAATCCTATTTGAACCTTAAAGGGCCTATGTTCATCAAATTCTGTTGAGTATTTTTTATTGAAAGCTTTACTGTACTATACTCTCTACTATTCTGCATAAATAATGACATTAATTCATGTGGCTATATAAGGCTCACAGGATGCCTTCCTCACAATCCTGTTAAGTAGACATGCAAGTGTTATCCTGTTTTCCAAACAAATACAGACTAGGAGAATGAAGAATTAGTGTAGGGCCTGGCCCCTTAATAAATGCTTGTTGACAAGTGAGTCTCTTCACAAAGTCAGGCATCCCTACTTCAATTTCCATTATGCCAGTTGCTTATCCTATTTTACCACAGTGACTTCTGTCTGTTAAGTTTATGAATATCAATAAAATCAATATACCAAAATCTTTTTTTCCTTCCTACTTTTTCTTTAGCCCAGGAAATTTAAATCGCATGTTATTGGTCTACTTTATAACTTTGTCCAAGAATTGCTGACCACAAAGTTAAACAATTAGGAGTGTAGTAGATTTTCTGGCTTATCTGTATATAAAACTGCCTACCCAATGGATTGATGACACATGAGTCACTTTATAGTTTTGCAATGAGTTTGGGCCTCTAGGTCTTAAGCTCAAGTAAGCAAACCAGCCACCAATTTACTGAGTCAGTGACTAGCTCTCAAATTATAATTTTGTCTTCTCAGCAAGTTAGTGTATATATCCTTCCTATGGCCTCATTTGGAAGAAAGCATGCAACACAGACCGTATTCACTATCTAACAGGTTTGAACAGAAGCCATGTGTCAGAGTATTCAAGTTTAACAAGCAAGTTATTAATTGCCTTGAGGCTGCTAGTAAAAGTCACCCCTCACTGCCCTCATATATTTTATTTTTTTTCTAGAAGTTCCATCTTTTCTCTCTTCCTATAAATTTTGAGAAAGTGATGGAGTAATGCAAATTTCCCACACATTGGAAGCTGCTTGAATAGAATTATGCCTGAAAACACACTTGTAACAAAAGCTAGAAACCAGATCTGAAATGACAGTTTAAACCAGGACTAAAAGGTAGTGTGCTATAGTGGAAAGAATTCTGGAGTTAAAATGTGGGTTTGAATCCTGGCTTTCACTGATCTTGGACAAGTTAGTTCAGCTCTCCCAGCCTTGGTGCTTTCATTTGCAAAAAAAAAAAAAAAAAAAAAAAAAGGAGAGAGAAAGAGAGAGGAGATAAGGCTAGATAATTTCCAAGGACTCTCAACTCTAGATTTTCTAATAGCTATGAAAGACCTGGAATTGGGGATGTAGATTATTTACTATCTGTGAGTCCATATCCAAATCACCTACTTTCCTTGAACCTGTTTCCTATCTTAGGTCACTAGGTGCCAGAATGGATAAAAGCCCTAGAAGTAGAAGCTGGAAGACCTGAGTTCGAATTTAGCTTTACACACTAGCTGTGTGGCCTTGGACAAGTTATTTCTGTTTTCCCACAAAACAAACATCTGTTACACAGCAAGGACTATATAAAAACAAGTTATTATCTATTCCTGATTATTCAGAAGGAGCTTCATTTTCATCAGGGTGGGGAACTCCTGATATGGGGATTCCCTCTACTGACTGACAAGCCCTAGGGAGTTGTTTGAGGTATATAGTGGTAAATCAACTTGCCAAGGGTTATAAGACTACTAAATGCCAGAGGTAGAATTTATACCTAGATTTTTTCTAACTTTCAAGGCCAGCACAATACACCATACACTGTACTGCTTCTAGTCATCTCTGTACAATGGAGATAATGCTCATACTATCTACTTCACAGGGCTGTTAGGAGGAAAGAGTTTAATAAGCTTTTATAAAGTGTTGTCATTATATTTAAGTGTTGTCATTATCTCCAGTTGGGCTACCTAGCATTGAGTACTGGAGCTGTGAGAGCATGTAGCATCTAAGAGACTTGAACTTTACCTCTATCCTTTTCATGATCTAGGTAACACAAATAAGGCTAATTTCTTCCCCTACCCTTAGTTTCTATGAAGTTTGTGATGATGCATTACAAAACAACAACTATTCAGTTCTTAGTGAAGATATTACTAAATGAAATAACATTTAATCTACTTCCAGAATTAAATGAAGAATTTGCAAATGAAATAATTTAATTACTTTTAAAATATTTTTGGGGATGGAGAAAAAACTTAAACAAAACAGGTCTGCAAATATAACAGGTAAAGCTTGTAACTCTGCAGCATCAAACAATGGGGCATGGGATAATAATGTTTCTGTGAATACCTGGATAGAATGCCATTCACTGTAACTGAGGTTAATTTGAATCTCCAGCTTTCAGAAGGTAGTTATCAACATAGCTATTTTATTGTTGAGCTCAGACTATCAAAGCCACTAGACTGTGTGACTAGACTGATGCTATCTGCTTACATAAAATTGTGTGCATTTTAACTATGATAATATCTGGACAAACATAGAGTCCAGAAACCTGCCACTGGGATTGGGGGCTATTTACCTCTTTGTCATAGAAACAAAATCATATTTGCCAAACTATATCAATAGTTCACCTGTGCAGGTATTCAATCTTATTCTGATACTATGTATCACAGATTAACAATTCTTTTTTGCCAAAAGATTGAACTGCTGTGGTAGCTATTTTTCAATGGAAATGAGGGAACCAATGCAAAAAAAAAATACAAAAAAACCCCCCTTCCAATACTTATTAAGCTTGAGGTCTTTAAGTCTGATATTTGATAAACTATGTGACTAAACTAACTGTTAATAGATACAACATTTCCTTGCACTTTAAAATATCAAGCTATATTATTTGATTTCAAGAACTCCTAGGCAATGTTCATTACCTATAATATGACAGCATGATATGGAGCTTCAGACTCTTTCCACAACCCTCCTGCTCTCTGAAGTCATTACTTCAAGTTAACACATTTATTGGACACCACGGTAGGCTTTGAGGATGCAATGGCAAAAATGAAATGACCCTTGATCTCATATTCTACTGACTTTTCCTAATAAAGTTCTTTCTCCAATATTTTACAATAGCTATTCCTACAAAACGCAAGTAGAGCTATTAGCTATAGTTTTTTAAAATAAGTTTTATTGATATCTTTTGTTCTTATATCATAGTAATTTCTCTTCCTCTCCTCTCTTCCACCCTGAATCTAACCTTGTAACAAAGAAACAGTTAAGAAAAAAAAGATACAGCGATAGTATCGTCTATGCAACATTCTGCCCACTTAGAGGTAGGTATGTTTCATTATCTCCACTCTGAGACCATTACTGTTTTTTCAATCACTCAGATCTACTTCCTTTCAGAGATTTCTTTATTTACACTTGTCACTGTCTCTTATTCTTCTGGTTCATGCTTGTTATTGCGGTTGTTTAGCTAAGTGCTCTAGACTCTAGCTAGAGGATAGGGTGATGAACTGGGAGTAAGATAGACCTGAGTTCAAATCTTACCTCAGACACTTTAGTAGTTGTGTGACCCTGAGCAAGTAATTACACCTAGGTGGGCCTCAAATGCCTCGTTCTTCTGAATGAACAAAAGAATTCACTTAACACAAAAAGTTCTGAGAATTAGAGGTGCCAATAACAGCACATATCTTACTGGGTTGATGTGAGGATTAAAATGAGATGACAATCCTCACTTATTTTATTCCACAGCCCCATTTTCTCTGAGGCCATCTTATTCATATTTTCTTACTATGAGATATTTCATTACATTCATGTACTATACTTTATTCAGCCATTCAAATTCCTCCCTCTCTACCCACTTTAATTTTCTTCTTGA